TAGAAAATGCCGTGAAAATATAAGTACTGGACAATGGATAACTTAATCACAATGTATGAAAAAAGGCCAATAATCAGAATTTATTTTTAAATCGACTCAATGATCGTACATAAATAGTTTCTAGGATGGGAACAGAAGTTTTGTGACGTAGAGCTTAAAGCACCTTTCGAGACTCGATAGATGAAGAAAACATTGACAGAAAGAGATTTCGCACACATTTACAGCGTGTACAGTAATAGACATATAAAGCTAACAAAATAGTTATATCAAACACGAAAAACAACAGACCATAAGGTTGAAATAAACTACTGATACAGTCATAAAAAATGGACTATAGTTGTCGGCATACGCAGACACAGACACACAGACAGAGAAAGAACAAATGCAAGTTGATTAATGCACCTCAAACACAACAACAAAACAACAATAAAAAACGAAAAGGACAAGCCACAACGCAGCGCTGATGAGTCTATTACAGACAATAACAACAAAAGCAACGGCAACAGCAGCAACAACTGACGCAATTGCAATTGCCCATGCACACACACACACTCGCATAGAGTTAGCCACCCCTCCAATCAACCCTGCGCACCAAAATAGGCACGCGTTCTACGCACTAAAATAAAGCCCATAAACGAAGCGCCAACCGCACTGGCTAAAAAATAAAGTACACAAAGAGGCCCTCATAAAAGGGAGCACGGCTAAAAATTGGCAACATTAACAGACCAGACTGACCGAGCACACACACACACACACACACACATAATGACGACAAGGATAATGTGCGAGCAGTCAGATGCGAGTTGTGAAATAAAAATAAATGTGCTAAATGGATAATAAAATACAAAGGGAGACAGTCATAATGGCCACTCAGACACTCGACAACCGCACGAATAAAATTGCACACACAAAAAATAACAAGCGCTGCTTATTGTCCTCCGCGCTTAAAAAACAGCGGCATTTAACTGGCGTGGCCATTGTACTTAATTGAACTGTCAGCCAAAATAGATAAACATAATAGTCCACTGCGTAGCTGTCAAGCCATAAATGGACACTCACTTCTTTTTATTGAATGTGACATTTTCACCAGCTCCGATAGCTGATAGTCTGAAATCTGGCACTCCAGCAAATCTGGTCTAAAATTATATTTATACATTAGGCCGTTTAATTTTTTTGTCTATATCTCAAATAATATAATAACGTTTTGTTTACTGAAAGGTCAGCTTTAGTATTGTGTTTAGAGATCTCTCGTGAAATGCATAAATATAATGGATTACACCTCTCCAAGGCTAAGCGAAAATAAAATTTTTTGGCTCCGAAATTTATATTTCTATGTTCTTAAAAGCTTATGGTAATTTGGAAGGGAACTATCTATGAAAATAGTGTGAGGTAAGAGATAGTTTGATTAAATTTTATTTACAACGAGCCAAAAATAAAACATTAGCCGCGCAAAGCCGGACAAGACTTGCTACTATATAAATTTATATATATATATATATACATATATATACAGGCTGCCAAAACAATAGCCAACTTTGCGCTAAGCTGCTGCACTTCATGCCCAAAAAGGCTGCAATTAAAATAAGTACCACGCCGTTTGGCTGCCATCGCTGTCGAGTGGGCATGTGGGTGGTCTGCGGAGACTTAAATATATCTGTATATATGTATATGCGGAAACAGCAACACCCAAAAAAGTAACAAAAAGCACACACACACACACATAGAGAGAGATATAAGTACGTGTATATGGTATATAAGCACATTGTGTTTGCAAGCTAATTAAGAAATTACTGCAGGCAAAACAGCAAAAGCCCGGACCCCGCCCAAGCGGCACTGCTGCCACCGACATTACCAAAAAGCCATTCAATATAAGTATATATGAGTGAGTACGAAAAATGATATTAACAAAAAAAAAAAGAAAGAAGCGAAACAAAGCCAGTTCCAAATCTTAGGATAAGTCGAAGCAGCAGTTCGCTTTATCGAGAAAGATGACAAAATATCAAGTAAATTAATCATATATATATATATATATATATATATATATTTATATATATACAAGGAAATAATATAATGAATTTAAATAGATACTTTATATATTAAATTTATATAAATTTAACATTTCTTCCACTATTTTCTCCTTTAGTTGTTCAAATTTCAGATCATATATCATTTTAAAATCTCTTTTTAAAACCCATATGCCATTTCAAAGGGATGTTGCCCTACAAAAAATGCTACCATAATCCAACAAGCAGACACATACGTCCGCCCGCCCAGACAATTCACTTTACATATGAGCACTGTGATCCAAAGCAACCAAAAAACAACAAAAACAAAATTTGTGAAAAATGTAGAAAAAAGCCAAAACTGAAATTATGAAAGCAGCCAAAAAGCAAGCATTCAAATTACTTCTCCTCCCAATCCCTAGCCATCTCAACCAGGCTGGGTGGGCAATTTTCATAATTTCTCTACAATTTTCAGCCATTTTATAAAATGAATTGAAATTCTAGCTATTTTATTTTTGGCTGCATACTTCCCTCAGCGAGCAAAATGTAAAAAGTAAACCAAAAATAAAAAAGAAGTAAGAAAAGCCATCAAATCTATTCATGCGCTTAAATAAAATGCTCAAGCACTTGACTGCATCCATAGAGAAAAAAAAAACTGTTGGCCAGAGTCGAAAAAAAATTAAATAAAATAAAAATATTCAAGAAGAAAAAGCAAGAGCCTTTCACGTAAAAGGTAGTCTAATTTGTTCCGATGGCTTCTATACGAACAAAAAATAATAAACAGACGAAGTAACCTTTATCATAACAAATGAATCTGAGCTATTGTTGACGTTGGTCCGAACTGAGTTTGAGTGTACAACATCGTGGTAGCCTTGTGGTTCGGCAATCCGTTGCTTAAGCAGATTATTGGCTAACAATTTAATCATGAGCTGATAAGCTGCATTAAGTATAAATAAGTTTCAATTGTTAAATAAAATAAACCATGTTTTCATGTGTGCTTTAAAATGAATTGATTTAATTGCTTTGAGACCGTGTAAGCTGCAACGCCTCAAATAATTGATCAATAAATTGAAAGCCCACACACGCACTGAACACCTACATACATATGAAAGCTATGCAGACACATACACATGCATGCACACAAGTGGTGCTTGTATCTTTCTGGTTATTTAAACTTGCAATCGTTTGTTGCGCATAACCGAAAGCATTTTATGCATTTTTATTGCTATTTATTCGTAGCGCACAATTTGCAATTTATTTTTGCAATTTAACACGCAGCGCCGCAGCCAGAGGGCTCTGGGAGCGGGTGTTAAAATAAAAAGCAAACAAAAACAACAACATTCGACGCGCTCAGTGCGAGTTAACAACAACAATAGCAACATAAGTGCACAATAAATTGTTACATAAAACGCCCAACAACAACTGCATCAATTGTTGCACAGATACGATACAGCATATACAATTACATGCATATTTATATACACACTATTAACGTGAGTGCCGCTGTCTGGCATCTACTGCAATTCGTTTTACCAAAGTCCATTAGAGAAAGTGAGGACGTTGCAGCAGCAGTTGCCAACGAATTCAGAAATTGTGAAAATTACACAAATTACAAAAATCCGTGATTTCCTAGATGAAATATATTATTTGACTTTAATTTTAAATAAAATTAGACGTCTTTATTTGAAAATTTTTAATTTCCGCTCATAATTTTCATATACAAATCTCATATCAAAAGCTTTTTACTTAATATTGTTTAATCCCCTATAATTGCAACGAAGTTGTTATATTGCTCACGACTCAGAGCAAGATGCACTCAGAAGTATATTGAATGTTTTAGAGTTCAACAATCTAGGCAGAAATCATAGAGAAATGATGTTTTGACAATCCAATTACAATTCTGCTAATTTCCGTAGCTGCTCAACCAAACCAACTAACGAAGTGCATATATGAGTGACAAACAGTGTTATTATTTTAATAAAAAAACAATTTGTAAGTGTCGCTCTGATGTTAATATATTCATAATAAAATGTCTAGCTAAACTCAGTAAAAAATAATAATGGCTAAATGAATTGAAATCAAAGATGCGATTTAAAACTCTGAAGCTCTAAAAAACATCCTATACACGGAAATAAATGAATGCATTAGATATCTATTAATAATTCAAAGTTCTATCAATATAATAAATAAATGTACCATAATATTTATTTTACGAGTATTTACATAAATTAATATGCAGAGCTTTAAACATGAGTTTCTCATTTAATTTTTGTGGAGAATTTAACGATGAATTTTGATATTTAGGGCAGTTAAACGTCCAACTATTCATATTATCTATCAGCTCTTTAGTTTCTCAGATAAGACAGTTATTTAGTTTAATAAGATTCCCCAGGTACTGAACGCCTTGTCCACCTGTTAAATACATAAGACAATTTTAGATAATTTTTTTAATATATTATTATTTTTTATTGATTTTTATTTTCTTTTTTTCATATATATATAAGCATTTTTTAAGAATTTCTTTTTTTTCTTATTTTAAATGTAGGTTGCGCTGTGTTTAGTAAATTGATGTAATAATTTTACTAGTTATTTGGTAATTGCTTGATATAATACATACAAATGTGCACATGTTGGTTGACTTGTTTTTGGTTTCTTTAGTAGCTTTGGCTTGTACAGCGTTCAATGAAATATATATATTTATATATTTATGGTATAATTTTAACATTTATTTTATTTAGCCTGCTTATGGAAACCAACTGATAGTTACTGTTAAGATTATTAAATGGGGGTTAACTTAGATCTGACCAGCAATCGAAGTTAGAGTAAACTTATCCTTATTATTTCAAATAAGCTGAAAACACATTTTTATGTATTCATATTTAGTTTCTATTTACAAGCTAGAGTACGAGGAAATAAAGCGATAGGGGAAGCGATACATTTACAAAATAAGACTTAAGATCTATTGAGCAATAGGCATTTATTATACAATGAGAGAGAGAGAGAGAGAGACAGAAAAAGGAGCTTAGCTTGGGATGTCCACATCCGTGTCTCTTGAGTAGGGTATGCGAGCTTCTACAGAAGTGGTATGTCTATATACAAAAGCTTTAGGAACAAACTATTCAAAACTTTACAGCTTTATAACGATTATGCTTAAGAGGCGCGGTGAGCCGTCCTCATTTTTTGGCCTTTGTGGTTAGCATTGAAACCAATTGATGTGCACTTAGCCGCTGATCCTTTTGTCAAACTTTTCAATAGAATTTTACAATGCAACAGGGAGTGGGCTGTGGGCGGTGCGGCCCGCACAGGAGATACCAGCTGTTTAGTAGGAGTGCGCCTTGTTGATTATCGATTTCTCCTCGACAGCAGCCTGCATAGACGAGCCATGACCACCAACTTCGTTGCGCTCAAAACAATTATTATTGTTGTTGTTGTTTTTTTGGTGCAACTCGAAAGTGCTGGAAGACGGCGGAGGCGCAGCTGATGGCGTTGATCGAACGTAGTCATTGGATGTCTGCTGCTGGGCGACGGGCTCCTCGTCAGCCTCAACATCAATGGCAGCGTCGTCCTCGTCTATGCATGTTAACGGCTCCTGCTCGCCGTCGGAGTCCACTTCTACGGAGCAGCGTCTTAGCTGCATCGCAGGTATTCGCAGCGGCATGGGCGGCATCACCGAGGGCGGTGGCGGCTTCAGCAGCGTCATGGGCGCCGCCAGGCAGCCCACGTTCTATACAAGCGACGACAACGGCGGCCGTGGTGGGCTGGTGTTGCGAGCAGCGGCCGCAGCATAATATTGCATTGGATGATGATGCGGTGGCGGTGGCGGAACAAAGCCAGCCGTGGTGCCATCGTGATAAAGCACAGGCACGCGCACCAAACGCTGTGCCGCGTGTGCCATGTTGGCCATGTTGGCGGCTTCTAGCTCAGCGGCCAGCTGCCGTTTCCATTTGTTGCGGCGATTTTGAAACCATATCTTTACCTGTGTCTCGGTCAGACGTAGAGAGGCTGCCAGGCCAGCACGTTCCGATGAGCTGAGGTATCGCTTGAGATCGAACGTCGACTCTAGCTGGAAAACTTGAGCCCGCGAGAAAACTGTGCGCGTTTTCTTTTTACGCTTGGAATTGCTGCCATCGCCGTGCGGCGATGAACTGTCAGATGGACCATCGGTGCCATCATCTTCCTCAATGATTTCCTCGCCGTCATCGTCCGATTCGTTAGAACTGGTGGGCAGCATATAACTGCCGCTCGCATGAGAGCCCGACAGATGATGTCCATGATGCGAGAGTCCGCCAGCGCTGCTGGTGGGTGTGCTGGGCTGATGTGGATGCTGTAGATGCTGTTGGCTGCCATGTGGATGCTGTTGATGCTGCTGGTAGAGCGAATGATGTGACCCGTGGTGCGATCCAGTCATACCAGGCGGTGGTGATTTGCTGGCGTGGCCATTGCCCGTGTTGTTGCTGTTGGCATTCGTAGTGTGGTTGTTGTCAATGTTGCTGTTGTTGTTATTGTTGTTGTTGTTGTTGTTGTTGTTGCCGCTGCTAGGGCTGAGAGAAGTGGGCGATGGTGGATTTTCAGTGGTGTTTGTGGAGGAACTGTCTGCAAAGTGAGCAAGATAAAGAAAAGAGAGAGCGCATGAGTGACAGAGCTTCACTGAGAGAACGTGCCCAGAGCAAGCTTTCTGCCTGCGTTTGTCTGTGCGTGTGCATACGTATATATAATATATATATATATATATATATATATATATATATATATATATATATATATATATATATATATATATATATATATATACACATTGGGACATGTGGATGTGGCTGTGGCTGTGTACACGGGAATAGCTGCTCTAAGGGTTGTTCAAGGTATTATTGTAGCCATGTATGTGCTGCTGCACAGATTTAAGCTGCAACACTTAACCTCACACTTGCCTTCGTCTTGTCTCTTCCTTTCATTTTTGTTTTATATGCCCCACAAACAAGTTAGAGCGCAGACGCGAAGAGTAATTGCCCTACACCCCACACACTACACCCTGCACCGTGCACCCTGCGGCCCACAGCCTGCTCGTCGTCTATATATATTTATATCTGTTCGTGTTTGTGTGCGTTAAATTACCATTTAAAATGGCCGTCAGTCAGCTGGGCGATTCCAGTTTTATTGAGCTTTTAGTTTGGATCCTATTTGAAAAGTTTAAATTGCTGTAATTTGATTCATACACATTTTACTTGCTGCCCTCTTACCCCTTTGCTGCGAAACTATGCGCTGAATCAACTAAATTCCAGAAGCCTCACATGGCGCAAAACTTAAGGCCAGTTTACATGAGCAAATGCAATCGCATCGACTTCTAATGCTAAGGGCACAATCAATTGGGCTTTAACGCTTGCTAACCAGAACGCTAGCCGCTATTGCCAGTAGCCCTCTCGCCAAACAGTTAACAAAGGTAAGCATGTCAAGCACTTTGTGGGGGAATACCCCGCAGTTGTAACTCGAGACTCGATTACAAATTCCAATTAATTGAAAATGGCGATTACTGCAATCGTGTTTCTGAATAGCCAAACGCAACAGAGCGTTACATGTGTAGTTGCGTGCCACTTCCCACCTCCCATTTGGTGGCACTATTCAGCCGTCTCACAATTTCTGTTGCCTGCTGCAGGGGGCACTTTGTATGCATTGCTCAAATTCTTGCGGGCATTAGGCAACTATGCAAATTAAACGAAATGCTTCAAAGAATGTCTGCCACGGCACATTCTTTTCCTAAGAATTTAAGATATTCGCATTAAGCTCTCTAAGGCTTAAGGAAACAGCGATATATTGGACAGTCTGTAAACTGCCAAAGCAGACATATATAGGGATTGAAATCTGTTTACTTTTATTGGACGAATTTTGTATAATATTTAAGAAGATTAAATACTTATTTATATTATACGATTATTTTATACAAATCGTCATAAATATTATATATATTATTTAATATAAAAATAGCTATTTCAATCTTCTTAAATCAAAAATTTACCAGGAACGTAAATAGATTTTAATCTTTGCATTTCTCCCTTTTTACCTATATATTCATATATTTATTGTATGATATATTCGTGTTTTACAAAACTTACCGTGCGTTGGGCTATGGAAGGGCATTCGCTGTGGTGCCCAGGGCCAGCCAGGTGGGCATAAAGCTGCATAGCGTCCTGCCAAGGCGCCCCATTGCGAAATGAATCCCAGTCTGAAACAGAAACACAAAACCAACGAGAAAAGTTTAATTATTTGCATTAAATTATACAGCTTACTAATATGTGCTCTTTATAGATATTAATTATTAACATAACATATATATTCTCTGAAGCCGACGGCATAAATTTGATAAGAGTGAAGAGAAAGCTGAAAAAAATATCTTAGAAGAAACGACCCCTAAATGCCAACAAACCCCACACCACGCGACGGCCATAACTGGCAACAGCTGCTGCGAATTTTGCTCCCCAAGAAAACACACACAGCCTCACTCACTTAACATATATAAAGCTAAAGATATGTGTGTGTGTGTATGTATATAAAGGCCGACGTCCATGTAACCTTGTTAGGTTGATGCTTAAAAGCATCTTTATAAATACATTTATTTATTTATGTTAGACGCGGCAAAGTTTGCAGAGACGATACACTTTTTGGCGTTAACGTTATAATGTGTTCCATATACGAATGTGTGTGTGTGCTGATGGGGGTGGGTTTTGTGTGGCGCTGTCGTTGGGTTTATTGTGCTAAATCAAAGTTTTCAAGTCAAATCATTTAGGCAGAAGCTAATGCCAGAGTTAATTGGAAGAAAGCTGCTTTTGTTTCTGAGGGTAGCACAGTGTGGTTGTGTTGAGGGGATTTGGGTGGCCTGGTTGTGGCACTTAAAAGCTTTTCATGGCCATCTTACCACTCGCTATTAAAGCAGTCTAGTCTGGAATTTTGATTGATTTATTGATATGTTTAAAAAGTCTCCCAGGTGTTCTTAAGTTTCCCACGCACTCAATGAACTTTGCTGTTAAACAATCCGACCGGGACAAAGAGTAGCCACAGTCCGTACACTCCCACCAGTCTAAAGTGGCAATGGCCATCTAACCCACCGGCAGGCCCTCTGCCGATTTTGCCTTTCATTTTGTTGCTGTGTTGTTTTTATACTTGTTAAACCCTTTGACCGTTTTGCAGGTGACCCGTATGCAAGCAGCAGACTGTGATTTTTTTTCGACCCCAAGCAGCCCCCGAAAGCTGCCCAGCCCGGCCACCCCCAGACAGACAATGCGCTGGCCAAGTTGTGTGTGACATTAACATTTAGCTGACCTCTTTCGCAGCGGCCAAGGTGCAGGTGTGGAAATCAATAGTCGACCGGCTCTTTCTCTTGCCAAACATCTCTTTCTCTCTCACTCACTATTTGAATATATATATATATATATATGTTTCTCTCCCTCTCTGTTATTTATTCTCTGTCTGTCTCTGACTCGTTCTTCCCCCTATTTCGCTTTTGCCAGTAATGTTTTTCAATTAAATTTACCTTTAGCCTGCGCCCGCTGTTAAATTATGAGCCGCTCCCTCTTTAAGAGACGCTTCAAAGGCTTCCCCAACTGGCTAACTTCCCCAGCTGGCTCGTTGTTTGGCAAGCTGGCGGCTCAAATCACTTCTAATGGGCTTCATGTTTACAACGTCAATTGAGAGAAAGCCGCTTTCGCTTGCGCTCAAAAGATGACGTCCTAACCACTCCTCAGATTACAGCCCAGCAGCAAGAGCGAAAAGCATGAGCAACAAAAAAGCGAAAAACAAACGAGTCAAAAGAAATTACCTCAATTACAGCGCTAATTTTGGTCGCTGAAGGCTGTCAACGGAAGGGGCCCGAATGAATTGCAAACAGCTTGTAGCTATTTGCTTCACTAATTATCCAAATCAAAGGCACTGCCCGAGTCCTAGGCATTTGTTTTCCGCCCAGCAATGAAATAAATACAACATTCCATTGCCCGCGGCAGCCGCAGACCGCATGGCTCCATCTACATTTTCATTGGTGTCACTTTGTGGCGGAAGTGGATGACCATGTTTAAAATTCAGCGGAGTGGGGCACGCCCGTTCCTGTAGCTGTCAGAAGTCAACGTAGAGCGACCCAAACGCCCTCGGCCTCCTTTCTTCCGCCAGCCCAACTCCGCACCCATTTCAATTTGATGCATGGCTGTTATTTCTCGTTTAATGAATTGTTTGCGGTTCTTGCTTTGGGCTTCTTTCACGTTGCTGTCATAATTCGTCTTGGGGGCTCGTTTTGTGCTGGGATAAAAACTCTGCTATGCAATTGAGTTGTTCAACATGGCGTTCAACATGGGTTCCTTGCTCCAACAGCGCATTTACTAAGATATGGCTTGGGCATAAAATGCTTTGAAGTTTTTCATATATGCAAACTATGCAAACTAATTGACTGAAGTGAATTAAGGAAAACTACAAATTGAAAACGGAATCTTAATTTCCATGTGGGACTTTCGTCTTTGCATTTTAAAACTAATTTTATATATTAAATATGTGTTTTATCGAACTTTTACTTTCTTTAACACAGAGTCAACTTTTCGATTGCTCTACAAGTTTAACTCTTCGAGTGCCCGCAGATTTAGGAAAATGCGAAGAAAACTGAGCCCAACTCGGCCGCAGAAGCCACTTAAGTGGCATCGTGTAGAAAAATCATCTCACACTTATATGGCAAGCAGTTGTTACACAGCTTCCAGGCGCATTACCGAAATTAATTTAAATAATAAATTTAAATGTAACATTAACAATGAACACAATTGGCTGGCGGGCCTAAACCGCTTAGCATTCGTTCATGTATAAAAGATTTGCACACGCTAATTGGCTGCATGGAGGCTCGAAATCAGAAAATATGCATTGCCCAACCACATCCAATTCGCCTGGTATATGTGACACTTTCAGCGGTGCGGGCACTCGAAACGACCGCAGAGTAACCAAAATATTGAACAGCAACTCACAGTTGACTAAGCAGCAGCTCAGCTCGCTATAGTTAACCCGCTTGGCTTGCTTTTGTCATTAAAAGGGATTAGCATGAAAATATAGCTAAATACATTCATTCATTCATTCAGAGAATATATATATATATATATATATATATATATATATATAGTAATATTCGGTGGCGTGGAGCGGCTTAGGCCACTTGAAAAATGGTGACATTTGCGATGCGTGCAAAATGAGTTTTTTGGCTGCGCCACAGGAAGTCGCACAAATGACACGCGCCTGGGAACCCAGCTAAAGGAAAGTCAAGCCACAAATCTAGATATAAAATCAGTGCATAATGCACTGTACTACACGAATATGTTTTCATTAAATGGAAACAATGTATGTGCCCACGTTATCTAGATATAAATGTCAGAAATCGTGGACCATTTCACCACTAAATGCCGCAGCAAGTTAATCCCTTTGTGATAGATAAGATTTGTCAGGAGCGGGCGCATTGCATTGGGACTGAAATTGGATTGTAATTACTGTAGTATATAATTATATTGTCAGTGCGTCCTTTAGCGGTATCCTTACAATAAAAAAATAAATAAAATAAAACGTAAAAGAGAGCTGCACAATAGACAAACACACAGACACATAGACATTTCCTGGACTCGAGCACCCTTTCCGCTGGCCGCGTTGGCCCTTTGTTGGGCGCACTCTCAAGCGTATCAGGTTACACAGTTACAGCGCTTAAATGCGTCCTTTGCTGCGCTATAATTAAACCGCAGTTGAAGAGCAAGCAGCAGAAGGACTTCAACAGTAGCTGACCACTAATTAAAAAATAAAACAACGTAATGCCAATGTCCAAATAGTCGAGGCCCAGGTGAAAGTCAGTCAACATATTTATGTATGCGTATTTGTATTAAACGATCAGTCAGCGTTTTGGGCGCGCTTGAATTAATCATTTGACGGAGAGACCAGCGAGTTCGATGATCAAGCGATAAGCCCGTCACATAGGCAGCCACACGTCAGCTGTAAGCGCCAAACAGCAGGAGTCAACACTTGGCCAATAGGCGAGGGCAGTCCTCGCGCTCTTAATTGGGGTAACCTGCATGCGACCCTCGCCACGGGACTGCGCCGGCGACTGCGACTCGCTTATCGCACGATCGATCAGTGAGCGCATGCGTAAATGAAATGAAAATGATCATCATTAAATGAAAACAAAAAAATAAGCACACAGGAAAGCCAAAGAACCGAACTGCCTACTTTGCATGTGGCTGACAGAAAGTTGGGTAGTCTCGCTCATAAAATAAAAGTGCAACATTTTTTTAATTCAACACATGCCTTAATCGAGCATTCTGAAACTCGACCGCTTGACTCAAGTCCTTTTTATGCTCATTTAAATGCCGGCTAAGTGGGGTCACTCCGCTTTTTCATCTGCTTTTTGAGCTGCACTGCAGTATGTAGGTGGCTCAGTACGTTCATAAATAAAAGCAAAAAATATTTTTAGGTAGGTCAGTCGATTCAGTGAGGGTTCATTCATTCATTCCCTTCGCCTGTCCAACTATTGACAGACAGTTATTCAATTGCATTGAATTACAGTTGCAAATGTTGCGAAATTCGATATTCTTCATGAATTGCATAGCCAAATTGAAGTAATCAATATCGATTTAGGTGCATATGGTGGTCACTACGAGATCGCTTGAAAATGTCACTTTGAAATATATTTTAAATTCATTTGTATTGAGGAAAACTTTAGCTGTAATTGATATAGCCAAAGAGAAACAAATAATTAAACAAAATTATTTATGTGTATCAAACTGTTCTTAAGCATGATATGTGCTTCACCTTTGGCTTGTGGGAATTTAAATTCAAATGCATTTTCAACCCAGAACTCTAACCCCTAATGCATAATAATTTTAAATAAATAATCTCGATAGCATGCAACTATTTGCGTTTCTAAAATTGTGATCAGAGTTGTGATAAAGTAAAGCATATAATTTTTGATTTAATAAATTAAAAGTATAAAAAATATGTAATTGTTGCCTCTCATCTCGGCGCCCACTTAAGGTGTCCTATGACATGCTGCCTACACTTTTACAGTCCTTCCATTAAAAATGATTATCTGTTGCAATCAGTTAAAGCAACACGAATACTCAAGACGAGATTCGTGAGTTTTTCCGAGGAACAGATTTGCGTCACCTTAATGCTATTGTATTCCTCAATGTAGAGTACCGTAAGGATTACACAAATTCTGCTCAATGCATCAAGGGGCAGGGAAGCTGAACTAAATCAGGTGAAATTGTAGCCGCTTACGCTCATTGGAAAATAAGGGAACGCTTGACTTTTTGGTTTCACGTTGGTCTGCAAAACAAAGAACAAGGCTCTCAAGGAATGGTAAGCCGGGTCTAAATGGCTCTACAAAATGCACCTAATTTGATACCGGGCATTTTTTGTTTGTAATGACAAGACTCACCTTGAGAGCATGGCTGCATCCTGAGGTCCGCCAGCGCCATGTTGCGGCAGTTGCGGAATAGGCGTTATCAACGCTGTGGCGCCATTCTTTTTCGCCGGCTCGCTGCGGCTCAATATGCTGGAGATGGAGAAGCTGGTGAAGCCATTGGTGCCAGTGGTGGCCTTGTTGCCATTGCTGCTCGCATTGCTATCGTTGCTGTTGGCTCCAATGGAGGCCGCCGCTGCTGCCACTGCGGCTGCGGCCGCTGAGGCACATGTGCTGTTGTGATTCACAGTTTTGCTGTTGTTGTTATTCAGGCTCTGTGCAAGCTCTTCGCTGGCGCTGCCGTTGCCATTGCCGTCTAATTCAGGTGTTTTGGGTGCCATGGCAGCTAGGGCGGGCGGTGAGCCTAGTCGATCGCCAAGATGTGTGGGAGCGACGGCGTGCTGCAGAAGAGCGGGATGCGGAGCGGCATGAGCCGGATGCAGATGGCTGAAACTATGCAACGCGTGATGCAGCGCCACGGGATGGCCACTGAGCGAGCTGAGATGATGCTGTAGATGATGATGCAACACTGCCGGCGGCACGGCGCCGTTGGGACTGTGGTGATAGTGCGGTACGGCCACAGCTGATGTAGATGTGGGCGTGCCGGCAGTAGTATTTGGCGTGGAGCGCTGCGTGGGCGTCGCTGGTGGGGAGCTATCATCGACTGAGCGTGCCAAGGGGCTCTCGCGACCATTGCTCATGCCGGCGGCGCCCAACGGACTAGGCTCCGGACTGGACACCACACTAATATCAACTTCAGCGTCGGATGAAGACATTTCAATACACGCACAAAACTCGTTATTTTTATTTCACTTGATTTTATTTTAAAGTATTTGCGATTTATTCACAATGGCTTTGAAATGTTTCGTTAACTGTTTCAGTTTGGGTTACTGTCAATCAAATTGGCAGTTGCCTCACTTGGCTTGACGAGCATCTAGCGATGAAAATAAAGTTCCTCAGGTGGCAACCGATACGTCTGCACCGTTTGATCAACGATTCGCATTTAAATTCAAATGTTTTCTGTTAACAAGCGCAAAGTCCTCGACGCGTCCGCCAGCCAGCCAGCCAGGCTACCTTTCTCTTTCGCTCACTTAAACTCTCTCCCTCACTCACACTCTGGCCTGGTGTGTGTGTGTGTGTGCGTGTGTGTTTGTGAAAGCGATCGCTTAGTAATTTTATTGTTTAAGTCTTTGGATTTTTAACCCCCGGTTGTAACAGAGAGCGTGTGCGCCGACTGCCTGCTGCGGCGTTCGACTGAAACTGAAACATGAAATGTGCTGAACAGAACCAAACTCAACTCGGATGGTTGGTTGGTTGTCGGCTGTGAAATTCTTTCGGTCTTTGCACTAAATGGTTTTCCGCAAGTTGACAGTAGCACACACACACACACATTCACTCACACACAAACACACGCACAGTTAGAGGGTGAAGCAGAGATAGCTGTTCTTTGCCAACGCGTCGACGGTGGGGTGTTTGTGTGCTCATGAGAGTATGTGCGTTTGTGTGGGGTTGTTTCTATGCTTTGAGAGTCTCTTTGCATCATGCGCGCTCTTTCTAGCAGGGGTAGCACGCTCAGCTCTTTGGCCCGGCCTGTTCACGTTTCCATTTCCATTCCGTTTGCAGCTGACTTTCTGTTCGTTTATTTTGACAATTGCGCTGCAACCGCATCGACAGACACTGCGAATTTCTCCTCTTGCTTTCTTTTTTAGTTTTGTCGAAAGTCCTTAAGCTATGACAATAAAAAAATAAAAATACAAACAGCAAGCTTCGAACCTGAGCCTGAAACACTTGGCAAGCGAAACATGTCTGCGAGGAAGCGCGCTTAGCCTTCGTGCATCTGTGCGTCTGCTGGTATGTGGGTTTGTATCTGTGTTGGCGTCCTATTGAAACTCCAATATAAAATCAATCAATTGGCACCCGACAAGGGTCAAGTGCTGCTCTGTGTGCAGTGCTCTCGCTCCAAAGTGTACAAAATATCTTAATTGAAGGGCACTTGAAAGGTTCCTTTCGGGTGAAGTGAGCTTACGCATTAAGAAAGTGTTAAATTTTATTTGAAAATGTGTATATATAATTTCAAATTTAAGTTTATATTCTCCTGATTCGACTCCACGCTAGTGCAAATCAACAAACAATAAAAATTCACCCATTTATTATTAATATTTATTTTGATTGACAATGCAATTGTTCGCAAGGATACATTAATCCTGCTGCCTGTGAGTAAATCAAAGTAGCTCGAACTAAGTTCAACTCTTTGAATATCAATATCAAATCACAGCACATTTGCGTTCCATTCCACGCTGTTCCGCTTAGTCAAACCACCCCAAAATGCTCGCACAGAGGCAGCCATTTTTACAAAAGCTGAACAAACTTTGCAGACATCGAGCGCGAGAGGAGGCAAGAGCGAGAGCGAGGCGAGAACGAGACCGCGAACAGACAGAAAAAGAGAGCAAATTGAATTTTTAACTGCCTTCGACTGAGACGACCACGAGGCATTCAATAAGTGTTGCAGCAATTTGCACAAAACAAAAAAACCTTGTGCGAGGCAATTGCACAGAGCAAACTGCCGAGAGAGACAGCGAAATGGAACGATAAAGACAGAGCATGAGAGCGAGCGAGCGAGCGAGAGAGAGCATAATTGAGCAAGTGCGTGCTGAGAGTGGGCGTGTCGATGGCAAGCCAATGGCAGCCGTTCGCGGCCACCACTGACGCTCAACTGACACCGCCGGCAAATAACCAAAAACATTTGCCACCGAGACGGCAACGGCGGCACAGAAAAATGCGTAGAAATTCATGCGCAATTACATTTATCCTGTTTAGAAGATTGCTTTACCAAAGTGCGTCTCAAAGTGCTGCCAGCCACCGCAGACTTTGGCGCTCGCTCCCCTCTCAAGCATTTACCCTAGACATACATACATGCTTGAGGGGTGGAGAGGTGAGAGGTGAGTGGGGCTGCCGAGAGTTCCACCTGCCGGCGTTGCAATGTAGCACATTTTTATGTAATTTCCCTCTGCGCTTTGCTTGTTTTTGATTCGTTTTCATGTTAGATTTTGCAATGAGAGCATCCCATGGAGAAACAACTCACAACGATTCCAGAGAGTACGACACCGACGCTTAGTTCAAAAGGTGTTGACACTTAGGCGCTGCCCCACTTTAATTTTAACTGAATGCACAAATGAAATCGCGTTACTTCTGATACATACGAACGGGTTAGGCTAACCGGGTTGGATGGCGTACTCATTACTCCTTCCAAGCATCATTGCGTTATGCGTGGGCCTCTGTTTGTATGTATGTGCAGGGCACGAAGAGAGGGCTTTAGAAAAACAATTTCATTTGATTTCCTTTTGACGATGTGATTGGGCTGTAGCTGGCATTGTTTCTAGCCATTAATTAGGCAAATTGACAATGTGATGTCGAAAAGGGTACTAAACCGAAATGGAGTGGATGCGTCAACAAATGAATATCCCAGAGCTGAACGGAAAATAGCTTCTTTAGTTATTGCTAACAGTCTTAAATAGCCGAGCCTAAAATGCAAACTTAGTCCCCAACTATTGGCCTTTCCGAGCTCACATTCAGCTCAATCCCTAACCGCTGCAGTGGTCAGCGGGTGAAGGCAAGCCACAAAAATTCCAAAAGCAACGACCAAAGCTCTTTTACTTCGAACATTTAAAAGAAATAACAAACTGTTCAACTGTCGGACAAAACGATTCTACAACAAATTGCACTGCAATAAAAGAGTATTTATATATGTGTATTTGTGTGTGTGTGAGCAAGCGAGATAGCAAGACTGTGTTAGGGTGAAAGACGAGTGAAACCAAAGCCAAAGCCAAAAGCAGACATGCTTCAAAGCTTTTCACTATACGTATGCTTGCTAGACACACATACACACAAAGACACACACACACATATATATATATAAATATATATATATATGTGATGTGTGGTTGTGTTTGTGTGTGTGTGCACAAAGGCAAACAAGAAAAACAACTCTTAATTGACGTACGAGCAAAGTGGGAGTTGCAATTTTCATTGACTCCACTTTAGCTGGCAGTTGGGTGCCTAAAAGTCGACCACAGAGCAGTGCATAAAGCCGAAAGGCCGTTAGTTGGGTGGCTGCAAAGTCGGGCGTCGCATTGGGATAGCTGTGCTAGAGATTCTAGTGAACAAATTTTGATCGGCCACCTGGAAATAGCTCCTCTGCTTAGGTGAGTCGAACACACACATATACAGCCATGTGCCACAAGCCTTATTTGCTCGACTTAACTGCAATTAATTTGGCAATTGACGTTGGTCAATATACGTATATATATATATATATAAATATATATATAAATATTGGCGTATGCATCTACCCAATGCAATGGGCTATAATAACATTAATTTATGATGTCCAATCGAAAGCTCCATTTCCTTATCGGACACATTAGGCAAATGAGTGCGGCTTTTGTTCGCTATTAACATTTCTATAATAGATGGAGAGCATGCTAAACAATAAACTGCACGGAATGGCGATGGAATGGTTAAAAGCAAATGGAGTTGTAGTCCCTTCGTCCTTCGCTTGTGTCTATTTTCGATATTAGGCTGCTAAATTTGTGACGCGCTTTCGGGGCTTGGCTTTGTCTTCATTCAAATGCAAACAATAGCTTGCTAAAATATGTAACGCAACCCCCTTCTTTTCCCACCCACACACACACACACAGAGAAGGTAAGTAGAAGTAAGGTATATACTTACATATATTCGTATGAACACACGCAGCACGGACAGCCCCTGTCGCTGCGCTCATAAATAACGCTTTAGACTCTGATTTAAATAAATTGTATTACGAACGCTCATATTTTATCATTTCAACAGTTTCGCGTGGCCCGCGATTCGATTCCACATACTTTGTGCGTTTCACCAATGGGTTTCTTTTAAGGTTTGGATCCTGCCTGATTGAGTACCATTTTAGACGCATAAATTTCATGCTCACTTATTTGGCAAGTCGTTAAAATGCTTTTCGGCGACAAACGACAAAATGTGCAAAGACTTGACACCATCATGTTGCCCGGGCTGGAAGCTTACATTTATGTTATGTTATTATTTGATTTATAATTGAATTTACAAAATGCACAATATTGAGAATATATATATATATATATACAGTAAATTGTATCAAAAATACGAAAGCAATTTTGGTTTTTATTGTAACATTTATTGCCTATTAATTAAGACAGATTTGATAAGCACAATGCTCTGCCGGCTAAAATCTACTTACAACAGTATCGAATTACCATTTGCAACAATACAAATGGTAAACTGGATGCAGTACGAGAGGCAGCGAGAGCTGAAGAGCATCAGCGGATAATTAATTCGCACAAAGAAAAATGAAAAGAGCCGCAGATTGCTTATAGAATTGAATGCTGTTTGCTAAAAATTAAAACTCAGTTAAACTTTAATTATGAAGAAAGGTAAAATAAAAATATACGATACGATTTAAAGCACTGAAGTCGGAATTGTCCGACTTGCAGATACCTGTTCTGTTCTTTAATGCATTCTAATTCAGATTTAAAAAATTAAAAATTAAAATAAAAATTAAAAAAAATTTAAAAATTTAAAAAATTATTTGTAAATACATTTATTTCTGAATACCTATTTGGATTTTCAAAAAAAAAAAAAGTTTTATAATAATAATAATAATAAAAAAAAACAATATAATAAAATATAATTCTATAATAAAAAGTGAATAATAATTTTCATAGAATATTTTTTCTTTACTTTTTGGCTTCTCAAATATTTTTA